GTGAGTTTCGGGTGGTCAATCGGACCATTTCATGATGTTTAAAATTGCAGAAAATTGTTGTGTGTTGCAGAAGACTTAGACCTTCGCGTTCGCGAGTGGGTCCTCGCCTTCACGAAGGGTCAGTTGGTGAAGGCTGGGATTTAATCCTTCACGTTTGCGAGGAAGGTTACGCGTTCGCGAAGGGCTGGGTGTTTGGTCTTCGCGTTCGCGTGAAAGGGACCGCGTTCGTGTAGAGGAAAGTGGTCAGCTGGGCTTGAGGTATTTTATTCATTCGCGAGAGGGGTAACGCGATCGAAAAGAGTGGTCAAAGGAAAGCATTGCATTCGCGATGGGAACGTCGTAATCGCGAAGAGTAATTTTTGGTCAAAGTTTATTTGTGCTTCGCGAACGCGAGGCATTGACCGCATTCGCGAAGAAGGATTTCAGGCCTGGACAGAATGTTTAAATAGTCGTCTTGTTCGCGATTTTGGGATTTATTTTCACCATTGTTGAGCGTTTTTGGAGATTTTTGAAGAGGATTGAAGAGGGATTCACGGAGAATCACTTGAAGGTAAGATTCATGGACTTAATACTCGATTCTAATGTGAAATCTACCTAATTAATCATGGGAATTAAGCCTAAAATTGAAGAATTAAGGCTTGAAATTGGAGACCTAGAATTTGGGATTTGAGGGGTCATTTGTGGTTGGATTTTGATGCTTTAGGTATGTATGAACTCGGGGAGTGATAAGAAATTCATTGATATGAATTTTATCGGAATTCGAAACGTGGGCCCGGGGGTCGGGTTTTCGTAATTTCAGGATTTGTGTTGTAAATTAAATATTTTCGCTTGGGCTTCGTTCCCTTAGCATATTTTGACGCCGTGATTCTAATTTTGGATAGATTCGACATGAGTGGAGGCCGATTCGAGGGGCAAAGGCGTCGCAAGCTAGAGATTTGACCGGATTGAGGTGAGTAATGATTGTAAATGATGTCCTGAGGGTATGAAACCCCGGATTGCACATTGTTGTGCTATATTGAGGTGACGCACATGCTAGATGACGGGCATGGGGTCGTGCACCATTGGGGATTGTGACTTAGTCCGTCCCAAATGATTATTTTACCGCGTATTTGACTGAAACTTTTTTGTGAACACCATGTTTTGGGTTGAATGCTATATCTGAGCCTAGTGCCAACTATTTGAACCCTTAGGGGATTTTTATTGATATTTTCTCACTGTTTTGAATTTATACTTAAACTCAGTCCTGCTATATTCCACTATTTTCATAACTCAGCCATGTTTTCTCTGTTTTTAACACTTAAATGATCTTTAAATGATATTCTGGGCTGAGGATCATGTTTTACTATTGCACGAGTGGCTTGTGAGGATTTTGACTGAGTAAGACCGATGGCCTATGTTGTGAGGAAACATTGACTATGATTATGAGGCCGAGGGCCTAAGATATGTACGCCACGAGGTGGCTTGTTGATATGAGGTCGAGAGCCTAGTGATGATGCCACGAGATGGCTTGATATTGCGCTTGGGCCATAAGGGGCCCCTCCAGGAGTCTGCACACCCTCAATGAGCGCGGGTACCCATTGTGATGTGAGAGATAGCCCGAGGGGCTGGCATTATTGACATTTTAGCCCGAGAGGAAATCCTTTATGTGTTTATCTGTCTTATTTGTCTGTCATTTACCTATTTAATTTTTTAATAGGCATTTCTTGAAGTTTAAACTGAACTTATATGGTTTTACATATCTTTACTGAATCAATGTTCTTGCCTATTTTATTGCTTCACTATAGCCTATAATGTGCTTTACGTGATTTCATGCTCTCAATCGTTTATTTATGATTATTACTCACTGAGTTGGAGTACTCACTTTACTCCCTGCACCTTGTGTGTAGATTCAGGCGCATCTGGTCCCGCTCCCGAGTGTTGATCTTTCCAGCTCATGCGAATCCGAAGATTCTCTAGGTAGCTGCCGGCGTTCACAGCCTAGAGCTTCTTCCCTTGTCTTACTTCTCTTTGTTTTGGATTTGTATTGAACTCTGTAGACTTTCTTGTCTTATTCCGAATTTTTAGATGCTCATGACTAGTGACAGACCGGTATCGGGCTGTGTTGGGTTGTTCTTCCGCATATTGTACTGTTGATTGCTTAAATGTTGGGTCATTTATCATATTTTAGACTTAATTCTCATTGTTAACTGCTTAAAACTGAAATGGATAAGTGTCGGTTGGCCTTGTCTTCACGAGAGGCACTATCACGACCGGGTCCGGGTTTAGGGTGTGACATTTCTAAAGCTTGTTTTGACTTGATTGAACAATAATTGACTAGAGACGAGTGGTTTAGAGGCTTGTTCTAAAGAAAAAGTAGTGTTAGATTGTTGATTTTGTACCAGAAAGAGGTAAGCGTCTTGGTTAACCTTGATTTGAGGGAAATAGGGTATAATCGAGTCTATATTCTATGTGATCTATATGTTGGGGCGGCATATATGCAAGGTGACGAGTGTATATATGTTGTCCATGGAATAAGCATGCGGATATAATTAGCCTTACTTGTGTCATGTTTCTTGTATATTATATCTTCCATAATTTAGATAGACTGTATAATTCTTTAATTTCTCGTATTCATGTTATTTCTTATGTTGAAATTATTGAGATATTGGATGTTGAGATCATTGAATTATTGATTGGTTGTTAGTGCTATTTGTTGGAAGATTCTCTTATAATGAGTTGTGTTCAAATACTATTGTTGATGTTGAATTTTCTTCCCACCTTGCTTGATATTGTGTTGTGTAATACTTGGTAAGTAAGAGTGAAATGCATGACGGGTGTTTTCGTGCTTGTGAGGAAGAGTAAAATTCACAAAAGATGTTCCAGTGCTTGTGATAAAGAATGATTGTACACGAAGGATATTTTCGTGCCTTATTCATATATTGATTTCATTACATGAAATGGGTTTCCGTGTTTGAGTGAAAGTGAGGCTATGCACGAAGGGTATTTCTGTGCTTGTTATTATATTATTAGGTTAGTATGAGAGTAAAAACACGAAGGGTGATGCCGTGTAGTTTTGTTAATTTCAATGCTCTTTACTTGATGTTCAGAATGTGGACTTGGCTTTGTAGCTTCATTATTTACTTCTAAAAGATTGTTCAAAATGTTGTAAAACTACGAGTTGAGGCTTTCTCGGTGACACTTTACTTTCCTTCCCTATTTTATGCCATTTTACTTGTGTACTAGTTATCCTTTTCACTTGTTGTTACCCCGTAACTACACTTTATATATATATATATATATACACACACACACACACACACACACACACTTCTATTAGTTCTTGTGCAGATCCGGATATCGGTACCAGCAAAGCACGAGAGTTGCTTAGCAGATACCGGGCAGGTGATTCGAGGTAGAGTTGCTCCCTATTCGCAGTCCTCCATGAAATTTTCTTATTTCTATTGTACTGTTTCCATTTTTCAAACTGTGTTTTACTTCTTTCAAGATAATATATTAGTAAACTCTAGTAGCTCGTGTACTTGTGACTCCATGTCATGGGATGGTTGAACGTTTGTGTTTATTGTAGACTTATTATGTATACCTTTTGAGTTAATTTTACTTTATATTATTATCTTGCTGTTAGTCGTTAATTACAATTATTTCGCATTATTTTGTTGTGTGTTGGCTTGCCTAGCAAGTAATGTTAGGCGCTAGCACGCCTCTGATTGGTTGAGATTTTGGGTTGTGACTTATACATTGATAATACCATGGGTAATATTGAATCATGGTATTCTTTGTTTGAGTATGTATATTAAATGTATACCTAATATTGTTGGTGTATTATATATTGATATACTATGATTAATTTGAATCATTGTATTCTCATATTTTTGGTATAGTACACGTTGGTATAGCATGATTTGTATAGTATAACAAATTTTAGGATTTGCCGGTTTAACTATAAAGAAAAAAAATGTACAAAAGAGATAAAAATTTATTATCAAAAAAATTAAATTTTCTTATAAAATTTTAAAAATTCATCTACAAATATAAAATAAATAAAATTCAAAAATAACTAAAAAGTGTAACACGATAACTCTCGCTAATTATAGTCGATTACTAATTATGTAGATAGTATACTAATACCAATTATAGGAGTCGATTATTTATGTGGAAATAACTAAAATAAATATAAAAGTTAAAGAAAGTGATAAAAAAATTAACGAAATATTTTTTCTAAAAAATAACAGGAAAATATAAGATAAAAGTAATAATAAAAGGGAGAAAGTGACAGATGTTTTACACGAAGAAATTTTACTGGAAAGAATAGAAAAAAAATAACCAAAAAGAAAAAAGAAGAAAAAAATAAGATAAAAAGGTGTGAGGGATTGTCACTAGAAAGAAAGAAAAAAGAATAAAAAAGAAAAGATTAAAAGGAAAACAATTACGAATAAAGAAAATAAATAAATAAAATAGTGCATAATTTTATTACGAAAAAAATAAAGAAAAACCTCAACAATAAAATAAAATAAAAAAATGAAAAAATGAAAAATATTTCGGACAAAAGATTTTACTAATTGTACAAAATTGCAAATAAATAAATAAATATGGCAAAATTTCATAAAAATTAAGAGCAAAAAATAAATGAAAAAGAGTAAGGGATTATTACTGGAAAGAACAAAAAATAAATAAATAACTATAAAAATAAAAAAAATAAAAAAAATAGTGCAATATTTTGTAGAAAGAAAATGAAAGAAAATTGAAGAAAAAAAAAGTGAATAAAGAAAAGGAGATACCCTTTGGTGGAGCTTGGGCATAGGACGGGAAAGGACATCCAAGTAATAAAATCTTCAAAATGGGCATACTTTGTTAATTCAAAATAGGAAGCATTTTCGTTATAAAGTTTTAAAAAAAAGATCGTAGTGTCTTTTTCTCAATATATAATTGTACTTAGATAATACTAAATGATAATGCCTAGATATTTTATAATTTTCTTAAAATATTGCGAAAATATGAATATATCATAACCTGTGCTTCCTAAAGAACCTTGCGACCCTTCCGATTTGCTGGATTAAGGATCCACAATATTTCCTAAATTCTCTAGCACTTCCGACAACAATATCAACACTTGCCATTTTTATCATTGCATTTGCAAAACTCTGTCTGAAGGCATTCTCGTTGGTAGCAAAACCTGAGACAATTGGAGTACTAGACTTATCCAAGGTAAGCTCCTGATCTATCTTCAGAATGCCTTTTTGTAACATGATCTGTCTAAAGAACTGGTAGTCAACCATGAAAGATATATTCTGATCCAAAAACGTCATTGCGGTACTTTTGGAACAAGTTTTCAAGAGTTGGGCAGCCAAACCAAGATCCATGGTGTTATCAGGTACTGCAGAAAGGTACCTTGGAAAAAATTACAGCATGAGCTCCTAATAGGGTCACCATATCATTTAAGGACAGCCCTTTATTTCTGAACGATCTGATGTCTTGTGGAACCGTAAATGATGGGCCTGGCAAGTTTACATATGCTGCATTTGAAACCAGGCCATCTCGCCTTCAAGTTTGAATGGCATAGCTAGGACCTCCAGCTAGCGCTATTGCATCCCGCGTTGCTAGTGTTGTTATGTCAGCGCATGAAACAGTCGGTAGGCATGTTGTTTCTGTGCTTTCTTAATTTCATCTATAAGCTCGAAACCACGTACTGTTTGGTTTGGTCTAGCGTTTCTTTACGATTGCTTAGACTTTGTTGACTTTATGAGTATGGATGCATCACAGCCCTGAAATTCAGTCTTACTTTACGTAAAGGAACACAATTAGATGCAATATTTTGAATTAAGCATCTTTAATCCAAAATAGAAAATGTATTTTACTAATTAAAATTACGAACAGTGGGAAACGATGTCGACAAAATATTTTCCATCTCCAAGTGATAGTGCCTTTAACGATAAAATAGATATAAGAGGTATTGCTCTTTGCGCATTAACTCTGAATAATGCTTGTGTAAAACCAGTGGCAGAGGTACCAGTTTATAAGGGGTGTTATTCGTCACAGTTTCTCAACTACAATATATTTTTCATTTTGTATGCATAAGTATTTTTTCTACATGTTGTATGTACATATATATATACACTCAGACGGATATTGTTTAAAAAAAAATATAAACTAAATTGATAAACGATGAACAATGCATATTTTTAAGTGTATTTGTGTATCATTTTTTGTGTGAGTTGCGGCAGATCACATGGTTATTGACGTGAAATATGCTCATTAGGTGTTTCTTATACGTATGAATGATCTTGTGTGAAAAAGGATCAAAATGAAGAAAAATTAGCGAAAAAAGAGTTGGAGAGTAAAATTTCGGATTGCAAAGAGGGGTTCGCTTCGCCGAGACAGGAGCAAAAAAAATAGAGAGTTGGGAGTGGTATGTGTCTCACACGACGCGGATCATGGTCGTATCTCCAGCGTCTCCTATCCGTAATAGGAGGTGCCAAGTCCACCGTAATGCAGTTCTACCTCGTACAAGTATGACTTTAAGCCACCCTTTTAGGGGGACAAGACTTTTGGAGCCAAGAACACGCTAGAATAAAGACTAGGATTCAACTTTATGTTTTTTCCTCTTTCTTCTTATTTTTCCATTGTTATGAATTCTAGTATTATATTTTTATATACTAGTATGCATAGCAAAACTTCTAATCTATGATTTCATGAAACCTATTGAAGGATGACTTTTTGTTACATTTAATATGATTTACCGCTGAATTTTCTCTGCTTGTTCAACTATGTGATTATTTTTATTGGAGTTAGAATAGATTTGTTGCGTCGTTCGGGAGTTGAATGAAAAATTTAAGGTCATTCCGAGTTGTTTAGGCATATTCGCATGTTGTAACGATTCAACTATTGTTTTGTTTTCTAGAACCATGTTTTCCTAAATAAGATTTTTCGTATTGCTTTTATTGTTTTGTAACTTGCGGAGATGGTTAGTTTGGGATTTGGAAGAGTTCAAGTTGAAATCGGAACACTTGGTTCCTTAAGGTTGGCTTAAAAGGCTAAGTTTGACTTCGGTCAGCATTTTGGGTAAATGACCTCAAAATCGGGATTTGACAGTTCCAATAGGTTCGTATGATGATTTCGGTCTTGGGCGTATGTTCGAATCGAGTTTTGGACGATCCGGGAGCGTTTCGGCGCCCAATAGTGAAAGTTTACATTTTGAGAAAATTCCATAAGTTTGGGGTGAAATGGATTTTTACATTTTAGACGTTCGTTTGGGATTCCGAACCTGGGAATAGCTCCGTATGGTGATTCTGGACTTGGGAGCGCATCCGGAAGTGGATTCGGAGGTCCGTAGGTCGTTTCAGAGTCATTTGGCGAAGGTTAGAAATTTGAGGTTTTTGGAAAGTTTGACCGAGGGTGGACTTTTTGATATCGGGTTCATATTTCAGTTCCAAATGTTAGAATATGTCCATAATGTCATCTAAGACTGGCACGCAAAATTTGGCATCATTCCGAGTTGATTTGATAAGAATCAGACGCGCGGAAGTGTTTTTAGAAGTTTTTGAGTTCATGAGTTGATCCATGCGTTTTGGCGTTCGATTCGTGATTTTTTATGTTATTTAAGTGTTTCGATCGCGCAAGCAAGTTTATATGATGTTGTTAGACTTGTGTGGGTGTTTGGTGTGGAGCCCTGGGGAATCAGATAAGTTTCGGATGTTCGGAAGAATGATAAACACTTCAGTTTTTCTAGTGTTTCCTGGAAGCAGTTGCAGGTCTCGCAAATGCGAGAAAATATTCGCAAATGCTAACCTCGCATTTGCGAGAAGAACTTCGCAATTGCGAAGAAGCCCGACCTAGGCAGTGTTCGCATTTGCGATACAAAGGTCACATTTGCGATCTCAGCAGGGTCCGTATTTGCGACTCCTTGGTCGCATTTGCGATGGTTTTGTCGCATTTGTGAATCAGGTGTCGCAAATGCGACATCTGAGACCTGTGCACAACTTATTAGTTACGAGACTTAGACTATTTATCTCATTTCCTCTCATCTCTTGGGCGATTTTTGGAGCTTTTGGAAGAGGGTTTTTACCTAGCACTTTGAGGTAAGTAATTTCTACACAACATGAGTTAAATACATAGATTATGGGTAGATTAACATGTAAAAGTTGGTGAAAATCAAGGGTTTAGATGAAAACCTAGGTTTTTGATAAAAATGAGATTTAACCACGAAATTGGTTATGTAACTAAGTGAAAACCATATATTTGAGTTCATGGGGTTATGGGTAACAACATTCTTAAAAAAAATTCGGAATTCGAGCACGTGGACCCGGAGGTGAATTTTAGAATTTTTTTTAATAGGCTTGGAAAATCACTTGATAGTTAGGATATGAACTTTTGAGCATGTATTGACTATTTTATATAATATTGATTAGTTTCGAGTCGTTTGGGCACCAAATTGAGGGTTTGGGCACTAACTTGGACCAGAAAGTAGGCTTTGAGGCGAGGTAAGTCTCTTTTCTAACCTTGTAAGAGGAAATTAACCTCATAGGTGAACTTAATTAATATGTTCTTCTATTTGCGGGGGCTATGTACGCACGAAGTGACGAGAGTCCGTACGTAGCTACTATTCATGTTTATGTTCGGGTAGTTCTAGGCTTACACCATACTTTATGGAACTAGTTATTTTATTATGTTTGTTAATTATCTTGAATAGAGATGGGGTTGAGGATTTATAAATTTTAAAAGTTTCAAGTTGAATTTCTTTATTTTGAAAAGAATTGAGGGATGTTATGATTAACTTGAGAAAATTTATATTTAACCGCGTCGCAAGTATATTCCGCAAGCGACGTGACTTTTCCACTACTCTCATGGGAGCAGGCCGTTCGCCTCAGCAGGTTAATAGATGCATCTATGGTTCATGTCGTTTGACCCTCGGCAGTACACACAGTTATGTATATGTATATTTGGATCGGGCCATACGTCCTCAGCATAATTCATGCGAGATAATAGAACTGGAAGAACCTTTAATAATTGATATTAATTCATTTGTTTGAGAGATTATTTTCTTAAAATGAAGGAAATGATTCGATTCTTAAATATGGTGAAAGGATTGTTCAGTTATTTCTTATTCTGAGTTTTATTGTCATCTCTATATAGACCATGTTTAATTAAAATTTCATATTATTATATTGTTGGCCCTTAGTAAGTGTCGGAGTCGACCCCTCGTAACTCCTTCTTCGAGGTTAGACTAGATACTTATCAGGTACATATTGTTTATGTACTCAGGCTACACTTCTGCACTTAAATGTACAAGATCTCAGGCAGGTGCATCTGGATATCAGTCCGGTGCGCACGCTTGACTTACACTTCGAGACATCACAGTGAGTTGCCTTCTGAGCCGTTCTGTAATAGCTAGAGTCTTTCTTTTGTTATATTTTCTGTCTATTTCATTTCACATAGTAGACTAGTATTCTTTTGTATATTCTACAAGAATGCTCATATACTTGTGACACCAGGTCTTGGCACACACTAGTAGACTTATGATTTTGGGTTCATTTTTATGATTACGATTTGCACTCAGTTGCGTTCATTTAATTATTTTACTTATGTCATTTCTTAAATCTTTTAAAAATGAGGAAAGCCGTCTACTTAGCAAACTTATTAAAAATGTGAAACCACCAGATTGATCAGTGTTAGCTTGCCTAGCAACGTTGTCGGGCGCCATCATGGCCTATAATAGAATGGGGTCGTGACAAAATGGTATCAGAGCACTAGGTTCATGTAGGTCTCACAAGTTATGGGCAGGCCTAATAGAGTCTTGCTGATCGGTGCAGAGACGTCCGTACTTATCTTCGAGAGACTATAGGGTTTTAGGAAACTACTCTTTATTCATATCCTATCGTGCAGTTGATGGTATACTAAGTTCTTTCTCCTACTCTCTCACAGACGGTGAGAATGCGCGAGGAAGATGTTCCGGACCCGAAAGGAGCTGCTCCCCTTGTTGCGGGAGGCCGAGGTAGAGGCTGGGGGAGGGCACCGGTTCGAGGTAGGGGACAAGGACGTCCCAGAGTTGCCCCAGTTGCACCACCAGCAGATCCAATAGAGGATCCCATTATTGAGGAGCAGGGCGAGGTACACGCAGCAGAGCCAGCCCCGGTAGATTTCATGTCAGCACCAGGCTTTTAGGAGGTCATGGGTCGTATGTTGTGATTCATGGATTCTATGACCCATGCTGGTTTATTTCCAACAGACCCAGCCACATCTTAGGCAGGAGGGGGAGCACAGACCCCTACTGCTCAGGCTTCTGGGCATGTAGCTATCATATATCAGACCCTGGGCACACTACCTGTAGGCGGGGCCTAGCTAGTTGCAATGGCTATACTCGAGCCTAGACCAACTGCGACCGGTGAGCCGCAAAAGCTTTTGGATAGAGGGACTAGGTTACACCCTCCTGTCTTCGGAGGTGAGCGCCATGAGGATCCCCAGGACTTCATTGATAGGTGCATGGATAGACTGCACAACATGGGGATATTGGAGTCCCATGGTTGGATTTCACTACTTTCCAATTGTAGGGCAGGTGGTGTCAGTCTTATCTTCTCGACAGACCAGTGGGTTCTCCTCCCATGACTTGGGACCAGTTTACACAGCTTTTCTTAGATAGGCATATCCCACCCTCCTAGAAGGAAGAGTTGCGGTGTCTGTTTGAGCAGCTCGAGTAGGCTCAGATGTCGGTGATTGATTATGAGGCAAGATTTTCTGAGTTGTCTTGCCATGCACTTATGATACTTCCTACTGACGCAAAGAGAGTGCGGAGGTTTATTGTAAGGTTGCACTCCGGTATTCAGGCTAGTATGGGCCAGGAGGTTGAGATGGGGACTTTTTATCAGCTAGTGGTGGAGATTGCTCGGAGGATTGAGGGTTACCATCAGCGGGGTAGAGAATAGATGCAATGGGACAAGAGGGCCCTGTTTTCTGGAGAGTTTAGGGGTGCCCCGCCTAGGGGTAGAGGTCAGTTTGGGAAGGGTCAGCCTAGCAGGCCTACATTTCCTGCACCACCACCTCCTAGGGGTGCTCCAATGCGATCTAATTTCAGCGGAATGCCAGAGAGTTCTTACCGCCCACCAGCTATTCAGGGTTCTTCTAGTGGGAATTCAGGTAATCAGGGTTCTTCCAGCGCCCATTTCAGTGTCATGCCAGAGAGTTCATACCGCCCAACAACCATCCAGGGTTTTTCTAGTGTGTATTCAGGCTATCAGGGTTAGACTTTAGGGAAGCAGTCTATGTGTCACGACCCAAACCGATGGGCTGTGACGGGTGCCTGAGTCCTACCTGTCAAGCACCCCTAAACATACGTCTAGGATATGAACCTGTATAATATCTTCTGAATTACGAAGATAACATAGATGAAGGAAACCTGCCAACAAGGCATATGTACGTATATCTGTAGAATACAGGGGGCGAATCGGCAAGGCTGCTATAGACAACAATACATCCAATAACTGAAAGCTGACAAGGCCACATATATCCCAACTAGACATAATACTGTCTTAGACCTCTTACAGAAACATAACTGTACAAAGACGGGACTGATCCACGTCATACCCATATTTCGGCCACTGTGGGAAACATCATCATCATATACCAGCTAATCAGGTGGTGGTGTGTATATAACGCTGTAACCTTTTCCCATTCCATATACATATATATATATATATATACACGTGTATATAACTCCATCTAGTCATAGGTCAATACACATGTATAAATGAGTGAAATGCATGAAAAATACGTAATAATCTCAATATTTCTTCCCGATAAACTTTTTCAACTGTGTATTATTCTGAGACCCATGAACAGAAGATAGCAATATTTTTCATAGGGAATCAAGAATATAGACACCCCTACTATTTCTATGAATAGAGTAATTTATGGAAACTATGCGTTTACTCGTTTCTTCAGTATAATTGGACCATGCCAAAAGAAAGAAGGGAAGGCTTTAACATACCTGTTCTTGAAATTATTTGAACGAATATGCTTCTACGAAATATGGACGAAACTCTGCTTTGAAACTCTCGAAATTCATAAACGAACTTGGTAGCTCCTTGAAATTGAAACATTGGCTAAAATTGAATTGATGAACGAAAAATTGTTCTGCTTTCACATTTTTGGACGAAAGGTTGGCTAAGGAGCTGAATTGAATGCTTGAAATTTTTGAAAAACAATCTGCTTTCTCACGTTGTTGGTTTAAAAACCAAAAGCAAAATGTTTGAATAATAATCACAAGAGTCTTCCTTTCATAAGACTTGTAAACTAGCCTTTTAAAACTTTTATGACATGTGTAAAGGTGAACAATGAGTCACCTTAGACTAAAGGGGGCTGCCACGTTTCTCTTTGGGGGGGTTGATTTTATTAATTTTTATCCACTTATTAGTTAACTGGATAATATTTTGTTACTCGGTAATTAATCAATTACCCGCATTATTTAAAAATTACCAAAAATTACTTAAAATTCTATTTATTTTTAAAATACTTTATATATACTTTATATATTATACTACCGTGATCATATGGTACCTTGCATGGTACTAGTTCATAATTATCGGGTATTATCGCTCGACCCGTATTTTATTCCAAATTGGCCACTTTCAACGAAACTCGTTTTCTTTCATCCGTGTACCCCTTTATCCTTCATAACACTGATTTATTACTTGTTATAAATAGCATAAGTACGTTAACGTCAAGATGATCTCATCCCCGAGTCTATGTCGATTAACTGAAAATAAAATTTTAACGTACGAAAAGGTGAGATGTAACACTATGGTACCGAGAGGTTGTTACGAGTGTGGGGATCCGGGTCACGTGAAGAGATTTTATTCTAGACTTCGGGGCAAGGAAGTACAGCAGGGTCATCGGCCCATGATTACAGCACTAGCCGTCCGACCGCCTAGAGGCGAAGGGAAGGCGGGTAGGGGTCGTCCTAGAGGTGGAGGCCAGGCAGGGGGAGGTCAGCCAGCTACTGTTCAGTCAGGTATAGGCTAGCTAGCTGGCGCTCCAGCTAGGTTCTACGCCTTTCTGGCCAGACCAGATGCAGTGACCTCAGATGCCTTGATCACATGTATTGTTTCTATCTGTGGTAGGGATGCTTCGATTTTATTTGATCTAGGGTCTACATATTCATATGTTCCATCTCTATTTGCTCATTTCCTGGATATTCCTCATGAGTCCTTGGGTACTCCAGTTTATGTGTCCATTCCTGTGGGCGATTCTGTTATTTTTGATCAGATCTATCGGTCATGTATGGTCACATTCTGTGGTTACGAGACTAGAGCGGATCTTCTGTTACTCGATATGACCAACTTTTAGGTCATCCTGGGCATGGACTGATTATCCCCATATCACACCATCCTTGATTTTCATGCCAAGAGTGTTACTTTAGTGATGCTAGAGTTGTCGAGATTTGAGTGGAAGGGTTCATCTGTCAGTACAACTAGTCGGGTCATCTCTTTTCTAAAGGCTCGGCATATGGTCGAGAAAGGTTGTTTGGATTATCTAGCTTATGTTCGGGATACTACCACAGAGTCTCCAACAATTGATTCAGTGCCATTGGTCTGGGAGTTCGCCCATGTGTTTCCTTTTGACCTTCCAGGCATGCGACCAAATCATGACATTGATTTTTGTATTGACTTGGCTCCAGGTACCCAGCCTATAACTATCCTACTGTACCGCATGGCTTTGAAAGAGTTGAAGGAGCAGCCTGAGGAGTTGCTAGAAAAGGGGTTTATCAGGCCATATGTATCCCCTTTGGGTGCACCAGTGTTGTTTGTGAAGAAGAAAGCTAGGACTATGCGGATGTGCATTGATTACCGCCAGTTGAACAAGGTCACCATTAAGAACAAGTAACTGTTGCCACGTATTGATGATTTATTTGTTTAGTTGCAAGGTGTTAGGGTGTACTCTAAGATCGACTTGAGAACAGGGTACCATCAGTTGAAGATTCGGGACTCTGATATTACAAAGACTACTTTCCATACCAGATATGGCCACTATGAGTTTCTAGTGATGTCCTTCAGCTTGACTAACACCCCAGCGGCATTTATGCATTTGATGAACAAGGTGTTCAGGTCGTATATTGATTCGTTTGTCATTGTCTTCATTGATGACATCTTGATCTACTCACGTGGCATGGAGAGCACGAGCAACATTTGAGAGCGGTGCTTCAGACCTTGCGAGAACAGAAGCTATATGCCAAGTTCTCCAAGTGTGAGTTTTGGCTAGAGTTTATAGCATTCTTGGGGCATATTGTATCAGGCGAGGTTATTAAGGTGGATCCCAAGAAGATTGAGGTAGTTCAGAGTTGGCCTCGTCCCACTTCGGCGACTGAGATTAGAAGTTTTTTGGGGTTAGCAGGTTATTATTGCCGGTTTGTGGAGGGCTTCTCATCCACTACATCACCTTTGACTAGATTGAACCAGAAGAGTGCTCCGTTTTGTTGGTCCGATGATTTTGAGGTAAGCTTTCAAAAGCTCAAGACAACTTTGACTACAACACCGGTTCTAGTGTTACCTTCCGGTTCGGGGATGTATACGTTGTATTGCGATGATTCACGCATCGGTTTGGAATATATATTGATATAGGAGAGGTGAGTTATTTTATATGCTTCATGTCAGCTGAAGATCCATGAGAAGAACTACCCTGTGCACGATATAGAGTTAGCTGCGATTGTTCATGCTCTTAAGATCTGGAGGCAGTATCTTTATGGGGTGTCATATGAGGTTTACATCGATCATCGCACCTTGCGGCATTTGTTCAAGCAAAGGGATCTCAATTTGAGGCATCGCAGATGGCTTGAGTTACTTAAGGATTATGAAATCACCATTCTTTATCATCCGGGCAAGGCGAATGTAGTCGCGGATGCCTTGAGCAGAAAGGCGAAGACTATGGGTAGCTTGGCATTCGTTTCAGCATAGAAGAGGCCACTAGTTTTGGACATTCAGTCCTTGGCTAACAGACTTGTGAGTTTGGATATCTTACAGCCCAGCCGAGTTTTTGTATGTGTCGTTGCCCAATCTTCACTATTGGAGCATATCAAGGCACGACAGCTTGATGATCCGAATTTGATGGTCCTCAAAGAGACGGTACTACAAGGTGGTGCCAAGGAGGTTTCTATCAGCGAGGATGGTGTTTTGTGACTCCAGGGTCGTCTATGTCTTCCTAATGTCGTTGGATTAGGAGGGAGGATTCTAGAGGAGGCACACAGTTCTCGGTATTCCATTCATCCAAGTGCTACGAAGATGTATCGTGACCTAAGGCAGCATTATTGGTGGCGGTGGATGAAGAAAGGCATAGTTGAGTATGTAGCTAGGTGCCTAAATTGCTAGCAGGTTAAGTATGAGCACTAAAGGCCAGGTGGCCTACTCCAGTAGATGATTATACCGGAGTGGAAATGGGAGCACATTACTATGGACTTCATAGTTGGGTTTCCGCGGACCTTGCGAAAGTTTGATGCAGTTTGGGTCATAGTTGACAGGTTGACCAAGTCGTCACACTTTATTCCAGTTGTGACTACATATACTTCAGAGAGGTTGGCCCAGATTTATATTCAGGAGATAGTCCGGCTGCATGGTGTGCCTATTTCTATCATATCAGATAGAGGCTCTTAGTTCACTTTGCATTTCTGGAGAGCCGTACAGAATGAGTTGGGGACTCGTGTAGAGCTTAGCACCGCATTGCATCCACAAACTGACGGGCAGTCAGAGCAGACAGTTCAGATCTTGGAGGACATGCTCAGAGCATGTGTGAATGACTTTGGAGGGTAGTAGGATTGATTCTTACCTTTGGCCGAATTTGCTTACAACAACAGTTATCGGTCCATCATCGAAATGGCTCCATTTGAGGCTATGTATGGTTGGGATGTCGTTCTCCCATCGGTTGGTTTGACCCTGGCGAAGCTAAGTTATATGGTACTGATTTGGTAAAGGATGCCTTAGAAAAGGTAAAGTTGATTCAGGAGCAACTTCGCACAGCACAGTCCAGACAGAAGATTTACGTGGATCAGAAGGTGCGTGATTTATCATTTATGGTGGGCAAGAAGGTTCTCTTGAATGTATCACCGATGAAGGGGATTATGAGATTTAGGAAGAAGGGAAAGTTGAGCCCAAGGTTTATAGGCCCATTTGAGGTGTTGAGACGAGTTGGGGAGGTTACTTATGAGCTTGCCTTACCTCCTAGCCTATCGGTAGTTCATCCAGTTTTCTACGTGTCTATGCTCCAGAGGTATCATGCCGACTTGTCACATGTGCTAGACTTTAGCACAATTTAATTAGATGAGAGCTTATTGCCATTGTTGCTAGACAGGATCACCAGTTGAGATCCAAGAGGATTTCCACGGTAAAGGTTCAGTGGAGGGGCCAAACAATCGAGGAGGCAACCTGGGAGTCCGAGGAGGTGGAGCAGATATCCATACTTATTCAGCACTCCAGGTATGATTCTAAACCCGTTTGAGGACGACCGTTTGTTTAAAAGGTGGAGAATGTAACGACCCGACTAGTTATTTTTCTTTCTAGAACCCCGTTCCCCTAAATAAGACTTCTTGTATGTGCTTTTATTGTTTTGTGACTTTCGGGGAAGGTTAGTTCGGGATTTGGAAGGGTTCGGGTTGAAATGGGAACACTTGGTTTCTTAAGATTGGCTATAAGTTTGACTTTGGTCAATATTTTGAGTAAACGACCTCAGAATCAGAATTTGATGGTTCCAATAGGTTTGTATGATGATTTTGGACTTGGGCATATGTTCGGATCGCGTTTTGGACGATCCGGGAGGGTTTCGGCGCCTAATAGTAAAAGTTGTGTCACAGCCCAAACTGATGGGCCGCGATGAGTGCCCGAGTCCTACCTGTCGAACACCCTTAAGCATGTGACTAAAATGTAAACATGAATAATAACTGCTGAATTACGAGAATAACATGCGCGAGGAAACCGTGTCCAAAACACATATATACACATACGTGCGGATTACAGTGGGTGAGCCGACAAAGCCACGATAGACAACTATATACCCAAAATTGAAAGCTGACAAGGCCATATACTATCCAACTGGACATAACTGTCTACAAACCTCTAATAGAAATACAACTGTACAAAGATAGGACTGAGCCATGTCATACCCATGTATATATACAAGCATATCGTACCAAAATCAAAAGCCACTCCGGATCAAGTGGAGCACGCTAACTCTTGCTGATCAAGAATCCTAAGAAGGTGGACCGTCAGCTTGCCTACCTGCACCTGCGGGCATGAACGCAGGCCCCGTGAAATAGGGCGTTAGTGCAAAAAATGTACTGAGAATGTAAGGCATGAAATCAGTACATAAAAGATATAGATGAAACATAGAATAAAGAGTTCCATCTGTAAATTTGAATAACTTTGTAAATACTGAAGCATTTATAAAAGTCATGCACGTGTATATAAATGTTGTGTCATGCATTAGTATAGGTGTACATAATACCATCAAGCCTCTGAGGGCATCCCATCATATCATCTCGGGCACTGTGGGCAACATCATCAACATATACCAACTGATAAGGTGGTTGTGCGTATATAACGCTGTAACCTTTTCCCATATCCATATACATAAATATATACATATAAATACACGTATATAACGTCGTCTGGTCATGGGTCAATGTACATGCATAAATTAATAAAATGCATGAAAATATGTTAAAAATCTCAATATTCTTCTCGGATAAACTTATAAACAGGAAGAAGATAAAGGTCATGCAGAGTTGGCCCAGACCATCCTCAGCTACCGATATCCGTAGTTTCCTTGGTTTGGTAGGCTAATACCGTCGTTTTGTGGAGGGGTTTTCCTCGATTGCAGCCCCTATGACCAGGTTGACCCAGAAGGGTGCTTCGCTCTAGTGGACGGAGGAGTGTGAGGCGAGCTTTCAGAAGCTCAAGACAACTTTGACCACAACCCTAATTTTGATACTGCCTACAGGTTCGGGGTCTTATACGGTCTATTGTTATGCCTCGAGGGTTGGCCTCGGAGCGGTGTTGATGCAGGATGGTAGGGTGATTGCCTACGCATCCAGACAGTTGAAGATACATGAGAAGAACTACCCAGTTCACGACCTTGAGTTAGCTGCCATTATTCATACCCTGAAGATTTGGTGCCATTACTTATTTGGTGTGCCTTATAAGATTTATACTGACCATCGGAGCTTGCAGCACCTGTTCAAGCAAAAGGATCTAAATTTGCGCCATAGGAGGTTGTTAGAGTTGCTAAAGGACTATGACATCACTATTTTGTATCACCCGGGCAAGGCTAATGGCTGATGCTTTGAGTCGTCGGGCAGAGAGTTTGGAGAGTTTGGCTTATTTACCAGCATCAGAGAGGCATATGGCGATGGATATTCAGGCTTTATCCAGCCAGCTTGTGAGATTGGATCTTTCGTAGCCCAGTCCGGTTCTAGCTTGTATGGGTTCTCGATCTTCCTTATTCGATCGTATCAGGGAGCGTTAGTATGATGACCCTCATTTGCTTGTCCTCAAGGACAAGGTTCAACATGGTGATGCCAGAGATGTGACTGTTGGTGATAATGGGGTATTGAGGATGCAGGGTCGGATTTGTGTATCCAATGTTGATGGGCTTCGAGAGTTGATTCTGGATGAGGCCCATAGCTCGCGGTATTTCATTCATCTGGGTGCCGCGAAGATGTATCAGGATTTGAGGCAGCACTACTGGTGGAGGCAGATGAAGAAGGATATAGTTGAATTTGTAGCTCGGTGCCTTAACTGTCAGTAGGTGAAATATAAGCACCAGAGATCGGGTGGGTTGCTTCAGTAGATAGAGATTCAGGAGTGGAAGTGGGAGAAGATCACCATAGACTTTGTAGTTGGGCTCCCACGGACTTTGAGAAAGTTCGATGTTATTTGGGTGATTGTGGATCGGCTGACCAAGCCCACTCACTTTATTTCTGTGTGTACTACTTATTCCTCGGAGCAGTTGGCGGAGATCTATATCCAGGAGATTGTTTGTCTACATGGTATTCCGGTTTTCATAATTTCAGCTAGAGGTACTCAGTTCACATCACGGTTCTGGAAGGCCGTTCAGCATGAGTTGTGTACTTGGGTAGAGTTGAGTACATCATTTCACCCTCAGACGGACGGACAGTCCGAGCGCACTATTCAAATTCTTGAGGATATGCCCGATGCGTGTGTGATTGAGTTCGGAAGATCTTGGGATCAGTTCTTACCATTGGCGGAGTTTGCTTACAATAACAACTATCAGTCCAGCATTCAGATGGCACCGTATGAGGCTTTATATTGTAGGCGATGTAGATCCCTGGTGGGTTGGTTTGAGCCGGGTGAGGCTAGACTATTGGGCACAGACTTGGTTCAGGATGCTTTGGAGAAGGTCAAGGTGATTCAGGATAGACTCCGTACAGCCCAGTCCAAACAGAAGAGCAATGCGTACCGGAAGGTTTGTGATATTTCCTATATGGTTGGAGAGCGGGTTCTGCTTCAAGTATCGCCTATGAAGGGCGTCATGAGATTCGGGAAGAAAGGAAAGTTGAGTCCGAGATTTATTGGCCGTTTTGAGATATTGAGGCGTGTTGGGGAGGTTGCTTATGAGCTTGCCTTACCTCCCAGCTTGGCCAGAGTTCATTAGGTATTCCATGTTTCGATGCTCCGTAGGTATCACGGTGATCCGTCCACTACTAGAAAATGGGCCTACGGCAACGGTTGTTTAGCAACGGTTCACAAATCGTTGTAATAGAATGGATATAGTAACGGGTACAACCGTTACAATAGGATTGGGGTGATATCAGCACACTTTAATTGTACAACCGTTCCAGTCGTATTGGAACCGTTGCCATAGAGTATTTTACCGCAACGGTCCGTACACCGTTCCAATAGACCCATTTATTGGAGCGGTTCTAAAAAAATTTATTTTTATGGGAACGGTTTTCATTCCCTCTTCACTTTCCCCCCAATAATTTGGTAAACCCACCAAATGAACCCCATTTTTTATTTTTTATTTTTGATTAATTTTAATAATATAAAACTTAAAACTAATCTTTATTTCCCCTTTTCCCAGCAAACTCACCTGCACTCGATTTTCAGAACGAGACCCATTTCCACCATTTTTTCCTCTCAAAATTCATTCCTCAAAATCCTCTCTTTAACTCCTAAAATCCAAATTCAGAAATAGATTCATCTTAAAATCCTCCGTTTCCCTATAGATTCATCTCAAAGATAGACCAAAATACCCAAATTTGAAAATCAATTTTATGGTCGAGTCGAAGAAGCTGTCCAAACGAAGCTAGGTTTCGTGAAACAAACGCGATTCTTGATTGTAGAGGTTCTTAAAAAAGGGAGATTGTTGTTGCATGTCTTCTGATTATTCTGAGAGGTATGTTAATCTCATTCTTTTTCTTCACCTAGGTGTTGTTAGAATTACGCTTTCAATATTGGTTTATTTCTTGTGCTTTTTGATTTCAATATTGTTTCTTAATATTTGATTAGTTTGGTTTGATGTAATTTTATTTCTTTCTCTTTTTCTCTATTACATTGGTATTCTTTTCTGCTTGTTGAAATTTTTTAGCATCCCATGTTTTCCTTGATGCTGTTTTTGGCTTCTGCTTAATGCTTCAATGAATCTTTCCGGTGTTGAACTTGTACAAAGTAACAGTCAATTTTGAGGCGAACTGTGTTTATTTTCCTTCTGTAGGTTTTAAACTTATTGGCTCTGTCTAAATTTATGGCCAATGACTCTGAAAAAGTCAGCTATTTTCCAGCGCATAAAAGCAGTTCTGATCTAAAGTGCTTAAGCATTTGATGTCGGTGTTGGCTTCTCTTTATGTTTTTATCAAACTGATAGTTCAACCGTCTCATTCTTAAAATATCCTAGAGTATCTACTGCTATATGGGAACTTATATTACTCATATTATACTTAAGCACTCACCTCGAACTAATGTAGTTTCAATGTATCAATTCTTGGGCTATATTAAAGCCAAAGATTTGTCAGACCACTGTTCTTATCTCTGTGCTTTCTTCCTTTTCTTGTTTACTTGCCTAACAATGACTGTTTAGATTTGCATTCTCAACAGGGAGGGACAAATGAATTATAAAGATCCTCCACCTCCAACCATAAGATTGTGGATTCGAGTCACCAAAGTAGGAAAAGGCCAACTCTATTAGAAAGAAGTGATTCACTTTTAGGAAAATTTGAAAAACTTTTTAGTGCAAAAGCTTTTCAACCTTTTTTGAAACAAAAAACACTTTCAGTTAGTATTTGTTTGCCTTTCTCTGCCAGTATGCAAACAAAGGGGTTGCCTCAAAAGTTGAGACATGATGTTATAACATGTGACATTTGCTTGTGAAGACTGAATCCAGCTTTTGTAACATGACAGTTTGTCCTCCTCTTTTTGCTATGTCAGGTAGTTTTTTTTCACTTGTATTATTAACGTTTTAACCCAGTGGATGATAGGGATATGTCTAGTGCTACAGCTGCGCTGCTTTCATATTGGTGAACTATGACCTAGGACCACTTGTTTGCTGCTCGAAATTCTTGCTTGTAGAGCAGATAAAGTCCTTTTAAATAAGGTTTTCTGTTATAGAATCTGATTTGTATTGTGACAATCTTGGTATTCTTACCACCAGAACATGTTTCTCTAGTTTTGTTTGTCATACTTGATTATTGAGATTTTGTTTGATCATGTTCTTGTAATTTAATTATTGCTTTTCAAGATAGATGTAATGAAATAGCAGGCATTAGGTATATCACATGGAGTTGTGGAGGAATGAGTAACCAATAGACAACTATTTTTATTGATTGGTTTCGTCTTCATTTTGTAAAATGGATTTCATAATATCACTTCATGGAAAGGGACAACTTATAGGAAAGAAATAGTTATAGTGTAAATGATATAGGGACAACTTATAGTTGGACATAATATCACTTCATGGATTTCATTAAATAGGAGAAATTACAGAAAAAAAACTTCAACTGTAACTCATGAATAAGGATTCATAGTAGTGTCTTTCACTTTGGATAGCTAATGAAAAAACTCTATCAACTACACCTAATATTAATGCAAGAATTTAACATTCTTGAACTAATAGTGAAACAGAATAGATGAATATATAAAATTTAGATATCTCTAGTTAGTTTAGAATTAAAAAGTAATTAGTAAAACATAATAGATGCCTTAGTGCTGGTTTAAAGGATATTTTCTACCATTTCTTGGAGAGATAGAGGAAGTATCCATGAATAAATAATTCATGAATAAACAACATAATAGGACATAGACTATTACAAATAAGTGATGTGAGTACCAAAAAACATTGAATCTGGTGAGTTTCTAATAGAGCAACATAAGAACCTAGGAACATAAAACATTTGAAATAGAGCAAAAGACTAATCCAGTATGTTGCTTTTATTGTCTTTAAGAGCTTAGAATTTTAGCAACTCAACATAGAAATAAAAGAGTTAAATTTGTTAAGATGCAACTGTAAGCATGTGATTTTTGCCCTATATGAGAATTACTCCCAAAAAATTCAAAAATAAAATGATTTTTCTTTGGTGTACAATTTTGTGATATTTTGAAGAATTATTTGTATTTGTCTGTGCGTGTTTGTTCGCTAAATTAATAAAAAATACAAAAATATGTCGCATTTTGCATGTAGGATTTAATTCTACAATTGTTAGTAATTAAAATTGTTTTACAAAAATTAAAAATTACAAAAATAGGCATCGTTTGCATTTTTAGCATTTAATGTCCAAATATACAATTTTATGCTTAATTAATACTTAATTGTGCGTTAATT